GTATTTAAAGACCTGTTTTTTTTAAGTATCCGTTTACTGGATTTCATTTGATTATTTTAGTAATCTGTGTACTTTAGAGTCTATTTTAGCTAGAGATATGTCACACAATCTATGAGCTAATCACAGTGTTGAAACTTGCTGAAGTGTCGAGTGCCATCTCTCTTACGAAATGATAGTTGAGGAATTCGACATTGACCTAGTCTTAATTCAGAAAAACGTTTAGCGAAGTGATTGCAGAAGTTGAGGATGGATGAATATAGATATAGGTGTAAAGAGAAGTGCAGAGAAGGCTTTCATCCAATTCAGCTAAGTGTCATTTTACATTGACACTCTCAAATAAGCTATGTGTGAATATGTGTGTGGATAAGAATCGTCTCGCTAACCACACCGACTCTCAAATAATTCATTGTGTGTGTTTGTCACGGACTGTAGAGGAAGACGAGCGACAAATATGGGTTCAAGTTTCTTGTCGTACATGTCAACATTTCTTACCAATTGTGTTTCACAAAATTACCACATTAATAAATGCGGAAACTTCGGATTTAAATCCGAGAGTCATGTGTGCTTCAAAAAGTGAATTAGACAGATAAGTCATCCTAGAATGTCTTCCCATGTCCTCGAAATCGCTAAAAAATTGCCGATTAATCGCGATTTATCGAAACGATAATCGTGAGCTAAAACGCGATTAATCAGCGATTTTTAACGATTTTTTAGCGATTATGACGATAAATCACGATTTTTTCTCCGATTATTTTTAAATATCACTGATAGCTTTATCATCGGATTGATATGATATTATTGACTTTCAAAGATATTTCATTTATTTCTGATACATTGCATGTATTTTTCCGGTGAGTTTTATTGTATATAATATGTACTAATTTCAGCATATGTGCCAGTAAAGTTAATGAATTAAACGAAGCAAAAAGACTCAAGGTAATTATATATTCGATTTGCACAATTAGCAGTCATGAATTTCGACAAGAAAAACAAAAATATGTTACAATATATACATAGTATAGCATTACATGAGAAAAATGACATAGAAAAGTTATCAAAAAAAGAATCAGATAAAAAAAGAGTAACAACATATTATGGCGTAAGACTTATACTATTTAGTTCGATTCTCTAAACAATATTACACTGAGGGAGATGTATTAGACGAAATATTATAATACAAAACAAAACTACATAATCAAAATGTAATTGTAAGATAAGCAATATATCTTCATTTAGATGAATGTCAAATTATAATGTTTTTTTTACTTTGATAATCGTCAGAGTTCTTTGTTGGCATGTGGATTATTGAGATTCGGTTCTTCGGATGATGCTGATTGTTTTCCAAGATCACTACGAAGACTATTATTATCTGTAAAAGAAAAAACTAGAGGCGAATTTTATAAGATTTAACAAGAAAAATCACTTGATGTAATCGTATTTCTTTTAAGTTTAGCTTTTAGATTTCTTCGCTTAGATTTAATACATTCCAACATCGGCATCCAAACTGTGGTCAACTCCTCAGGTGTCAACCCAAATTTAACTTGAACAGCATCTAAAATAGAAAATGAAATTTTTTTACGATAAGCTTGACATAACTTACTTCGGATAGTTATAACTCGTTTATCTGTGTCAATAGAATGTGGATCAGTATCAACAAGTTCTTTTGGTTCTTTGAATATTTGTTCGATGGCTTTTAATACGAATTTGTTTGGGTTTGATTTATCAGCAGGAATTTGAATAAGATCAATTTTTTCACCATTACTAAATGCGTACATCTATAAAGAAAAGATAAAGAGGCAAATCAGTATATTTCTACTTACAACACTGCCACGATCAGTAGTGAATGTTGATGCTTCAGTTTCCATCTCATCTAACAATTGAATTGGAATCTAAAAGAACGAACTAACATTTAAACACTAATTAGTTTTCTTTACCTTATGACGTCGCAGCGCTTTTGCTATTTTTTTCTGATTGTTTAAGACCAAAGTAAGTGTGTTTTGGTGTTGATCATAGGAATCAGCGAGACTAGCTATTTGTTTACGAAGCTGATCCAAGTTGTGACTCAATTCTTTTAGGATCGAAAATGATGATAGATTGACGTCAGTTTTCTCTTGATTTATAATTGATGATGAAGTAATATTATTTCGAGGTCGTTTTCTGGATATTTTTCGAGATATTCGTGATGATGTACGCTTCTTTGATTTTGATGCGAGCGAATGACTAAAAGTAGAATTCAAAACATGATGATTTGCAACTTTACCTGTTTCTTCATCATCATCATCTTCTTCTTCTTCAGAAGTTATTTCATCATTAGCATTTTTATTATATGATATTCGAGAACAATCAACTAAAAAAGAGAAAATAACACCTGTTAAAGCCTGGTTTTTTTGCTATATTACAAACAGTCTTACCAGTTTTATCAAAGTCATCGAATGAACATGAAGTCAGTGTTGTATATGTTCGTTGTCCTTCAGAATCTAGAATAATCAAAATAAATTTGTTGCCATCCACATAATCTGAATAAATTACCAAAATTATGTAAGTCACTTAATTCTTTATTGAGTAAATCTAAAAAGATATTTTATTTATATGTAGATATACATAGATAATGATAAAAGAAAATAATTCTGTATGCTGTCTATGACGATCGTACCTACATCATTAAGAAAATTAATTCTTTTACATTTCTGATCATTACTCTGCATTACATGTGTGAATCGAACGATGAGAAGCTAGTTTCTTGAAAAATCGAAAACAGACTTTTCATATCTTGTTGTAGCGGACTCCACTCAAAAAAGTTTAAGATTAGCTCGATCAATGATGCAATATTTCACTGTACTCTTTTTTCCTGGCTTAAACTTTGCCGACATTTTAGTCAAGAATAATATATTCTTAATACATATGAAACGGTTAACCGGTTTACATGCTATTTAATATCAAACTAAGCAGATGTGTTAATTGATTATCCTTGACCCTAAAAGTTGCTAGGATGCGAAGATTTGACGTTAATAATCAACCTATGAAAGGAAGCGATTCTTTAAGCAAACTTACTTGTTTGATTACGACTTTTGCTTGACAATGATTTTTTTCGTTTATGCCATTCTTCAGTATCGGATTTTATATCAGAATTCATTGTGTAAGTAGATGTTTCTTCTGCCTCTTTAGCAAGTTGTTCCATTTCAGCAAGAGTACCTTAAATTAAAAAATGAATAGATAGTTGAAGAGAAAAGTTATACGATTTATACTCACCAGTTCTTTCGACAATAATGCGATAACTTTTATTTTGCTCTCGAATAGAACCTTTGCCGAAATTGTCAACATTAATTAATCTTTTAAAAGATATAATACTGAAACTGTTCGGTTCGTCCATATAGCTGATAAAAGCGAACTCTTCATCTTTTTTTCCTCGTACTTCGGTTTTGTAGAGTTTTTCAGATGTATTTTGTGTCATCTGAAATAAGCAAATAATATAGTAGTAAATTCAAATTCTCAATGTCATATAAATATGTGGCTAAAACATAAACATAAGAAATAAATTTAATCATGTTCATAATCTACACGTATTTCAGAGAGAAATACGTGACCTTGGTGTTCGACTTCAATGCACTTATGATAAATATTACTGACAGGTACAATAATATATGATTGACTCATACGCCTTACTGGAAAAATTTCATTTAGCTTTTCCTTTAATTCTGCAGGAACACAAACGTAATCATTTATATTCTTTTCTGTAGATGCATATTTCTGGATGTAAGCATAATAATTTTCATTATATTTAAAAAAGATAACGACGCCACCATATTGAATTGAGCAATTCATATCTTCGTAAGAAATGATATAACTAGAACAATTAAATCGCAAGTCATATAAAATTGAATGATAAGTGACAAATGTATCCTTAAATCGTAAAAACAAAATAATATCATCGTCGTCCTGAATGAATTCATGTAAAACACTTAAAAACTGATCCCGATATTTATCAAAAATGGAATCGTTAATGCCAATATTGTTAATGCCAATTGGTGTCGAAAGTTGAACAGGTAGTGGATTAATAATTGTATCAATATCTATCGAATGTGCTATTTGCGTAGCAAGCTCTCGTGTTTCATGAGCTTTTTTTTTAATATGGCGTATAATACTTTCAAAGCAAAAGGCCGATGTGAAACACAAACCACCATGCATCAAAACTTGTTGTGGTAAATGTAGATGAGCATGAAGTGAAAATAATTCAATTGATTCACCATATATTTGAGGCGCTGTTTGACAGTAATAATGTATAATTTTATCTGCTAATTTAATTTCATCGATTGATTTCGGACAGTGTAGCAGTTTAATAAACATCAAATATAAAGCGAAATGTGATGCAAAAAGTCGTGGTAAACGAGTTAAAACATAAGGAAGGCCAATGGATAAAATGAACACGCGAAAATGCTTCGCTTTCCAGTCGTTGCATAAATTTAAAGGATAATTAAATTTAACACTCATGTTGTGAGGAAATCGTTGAGAATATAATTTTGAATTGATATAATCAAGTGCATCTTTATCTAACATTGGTAACCAACGTTGAATCAGTGATGACATGTGTCCAAGACAGCACAAATGCATATAATCAATAATTGTTTGTTTTGGATATTCAAATACTTTCAGTAGAGAAGACTTACCTTTAATACCATCAATACAACCGCCTTTACTTCCATTAAGTATACGATTATCAATCGCTTGAGCTGTTGCTAAGAATTTCGTATGAGTTCGTTGGCGATAACTATTTTTATTATATGGGTATAATAACTGTCGATTTCTATATATGCCTAAAAAAAGAAAGAGTATTGAAAGAATATCTAAAACAGATAATAATTTTAGAGAGAAAATTCAATGGCTTACCTTCAGTTAAACAATGAGCACATGCATTATATCCATTATAATTTATCGTTTTCCAAAAAAGAGCTTTTGCTGGTAAATCCGCTAAAAATAATTGAGTTCTAACACTAATAGAAAACTGTAAGTTATTAACAATTAATGTATATAGTGTTGATAAATCCAATAATTGTTGAATGCAATCATTCATAAATAAATCAACATTTGGTTTTATTGAAGAGTTCCATAAACATAAAATAACTATATTTTTTTGATTTTCTCTAACTTGTGGAGGCAGTTCAACTATGGAAGCTAAACATGGCCATATAGAAGATTTCGTTGTACGAATCAGCGGTGCGCCATCAGTATGAATATTCAAACTGATAGAATGAATGAAATTTTTCGAAACTTGGTTGGGTCCATTTGATAATGTTATAGATGTTTTATAATGTTCACCATTGCTGATGTCGAAAGGTTCAAATAGGTTTTTGTTACCAAATAAATAAATATTTCTAGTAATAATTGACTTTAACTGTTGTTTGATATCTAAGGTGACAACTTCACTAATGTTCCGATTCCGTAGTGATTTATTAACCAATGCGCATTTGTCATTGTCGCAAAATTTCTGTCCCGATCTTAATACACATAATTGAAGACAGGAATTACAATAAAATTTAGATGATGATGAGGGCTTCGCACCAATCGATTTACGTATAGATGCATGTGTTGTAGGTAAATAATTGGGATTTGGCAAGAGCGTTTTGAAAACTTTTAATACACGTTCAACAACATTCTTTGAAAAATTAAATTCACTAGCCATAGACATGATCCTTGAAGCAGCAGCTTTAACTGAAATATGAGCATTTTCATATAATGGTGAGCTTGAATCAGAAGATAAATTAACAAAATCTTCATTGTAATCAGTATCATCATCACTCGAAATGTGTGTATTATTAATTGAATTGGAATAATCCGAATATAATAATTCATCATGTTTATATTGAGTAACTTCAGGAGTACCATACTCCTGAGCATTTTCTTCATGAGTATTTGTTGGATGGTCTGCATTGTTACCTATAATATCATCATCATCATCAGATGAGGTAATGCAAGAATCGACATTGTTTATTATGTCTAATGAAACTTTTCGCTTTTTGCGACGCTGACGTTGTTGCCGACTGACTCGATTTTGATACGATATTACAGAATTAAACATCTAAAAAATATTCAAGAAAAGAAAAGAACAAATTTTAGGAATTGCAGTGTACAGCACTACAGCGAAATGTATTGTTTGATTATAAAGAATTTTTTAAGGATTTCCATAGTTTACAATTTTCATCATCACGAAATTTAAATAAAGAGTCACAATGACTTGTGTATATCTGTATATATATATATAGATATATATATAATATTTATATATATACATATGAACTAACAATTTAACATCAAAGCGTTATCCAATTACAATGTGACAAAAAGAAAATGAAACGATTACAATAACGACATTTTAAATCGTCTTTACTTTTTATATCATATTGTAATTGAATTAAGCTTTGATGTTACAAAGTTGTAAATTTATGTATATATAAATGTTATTTCGTCTTTCTATTATCATTTCTCCATGATGTCGATTAAAACTTATGAATATTAAAAAAATTCGCTAAAGAAAAAAAGAAAGATTGAAAAGCAAACCATATACTAAAAGGCACAGATTACAGTAGCAAATTAAGCTATTGCCTCAGTATCATCTGAGATCAAAGTAGAGTGATGATTTTTGGGACATGTTCTTGATAAAATAGGTAAAAATATATGCATCCGGAAGAAACAAATGTCTCTCCGAAAATCAAGCGAAGTACAATTATCATGAGCTCAGTATTTGAATCTAACAACAATCAAAAAATCATCGTTAACGATCCAATTCTATGCGATAGAAACAGTTGATGCATACATTTGTATGTTAATCTAGAATAAGAATCTTGTTTAAGTTGGATTGGACGCTCAAAAACGACTTTTTGACTACGAAAAACAGATGAGTAATTGATTGATCTATATTCAAATTTTTTAAGTGATAAAGTATATACTACCATCACCAAGTACATTAATTAGTTTATTTGCGTTGCTCAGCAACTACAATTATAGAGTTCGGCGTTTGTGTGCTAAATGTATACAATATTCAAATATATGTCAAAATTTTCATTTTGTAAGAACATGTTTATGCCAAGCTATAAAAAGCTCTGATTAATCGCGATTAATCATTCTGATTTTTAACGATTGCGATTAATCAGTATTCTTTCCTAAATCGCGATAAAATCTGATTTTATCGGTGATTTTTCACCTTAATTCGATTTATCGCGATTTAACGTTCATTTTTCTGAAAATCGCCAAAATCGTGGTGATTTTCATCACATGGGTTGACATCAAAATTAAACTGGGGAAACTTTCCTATGAGCTGTTGTTTTCTATTGGCTATTGTCCAACCAGTAGGACTTGGGGGTGAATACAGCTCAGATTTGTACTCTTCGCCTTGATTTACCCTTAAAAAGTCATTTTTCCTATAACTTGATTTCTATTGGTCACTGTTCAACCAATAGCATTTCGAGGCAAGTGGAGCACAGATTCGAGTTCTCCGCCCCAGAAAACCTTGAAGTATCATCTTGATGATCGAAAGATAGACCTCTATTTGTGAATCAATTAGAGCATGGACAAAAACAGAACCTATTGCCGTTTAATTATCTTTGTAATAGGTGAGTTAGCCTTCTCGTTCCTTTATGTTTTATATACCATTTTGCAGCTCGTAAAATTTTCTATCGAATGGTATATAATAGTTGGGGTTTTATTTGACTATGATTGGAAAAGTCTTTTACGAAAGCTGGGATGGGTCGATTTTCGCATAGGAAACCATAGGGAAAAATGACTATTTTTGCAATAACTCACGAATGGCTCGGCCGATCATGCTCATCTTCGAACTCGACCGAGATATTGTTAAGACTAAACTGTGTAGAAAATTTCATCATGATCTAACTCTACTTTCAAAAGTTATCGTGTAAACCGACGGCCGGCCGGCCGACCGGACGGACACACTGACCGATTCTAGAGTGTACTCACTCTTTGAGTACACAAAAAGTATCGTTTACGCTGCCGATTTCACAATTCAATACAATCACTTTAATAAACAGAATCAAATACCCAGCACGAACAATCCGACAGTGGATCCCATCGGATCCTATCGAATCCTATCCAGATCCTACAGGATTTTATTGGATCCGGGTCACGATCCGACTAACGGATCCATAGTATTGGAATCCGATCGGAATCCGATAGGATACTATAGGAATCTCGTCGGAATCCGACTGCTGGAGTTCCTATCGAATCCGACTGTTGAATTTGATCGGATGTCTCTCGGATTCCAACACTAGGATTTGTTCGTCGGATCGTGAGCCGGATTCCGATCGGATTTTGTAGGACTCGTTGGATCCTATAAGATACCATCGGATCCGTGTCGGATTGATTGACCTGGGTAGCATATCATGTTTCTAAGCAAAACATTTACAGATCTTGAAATATGCTTGTCTTGTGTAATAACACACTTTTGCCATCGCTTATATCGAATAGGTAGCATTGGCAACTTTATACATTGCTGATGGCTTCCTTTCTACTCTCTACACTAGAGTTTCTTGACTTTATGCTGCTCTACATGTTGTTATTCATTCGATTCGAATCAGAAACGCAAACAGGAGTGTCCAAGAGATCGACAAAACATTGAAACCGTGACCATCAGTATGATGGTAAAATGTTTAGTAGCCTACTAATGGCCAAATATTTCCAGAGATTGCTAGAAATTGCCAACCTCTACAATCTTGCTTTATCTCTCTTGTCTAACAGTTCATTGCAATCGATAATATGCGAAACTATCCCACATAAGATTTTTTCCATTTGGCTTGTGGTCTATTTAGCGCCATAAACTGGCTTCAAAAGCGTATTTGTCTGCAATTCAATGATCTAGAATGTAATAAATTGTACAAACTTTCAAACACTTGCCAAAGCACATGTAAAATCCACCGGGTCTTTTGTGTCTCATTATTTTTAATAGAGTTAAAAGCATTTTTTATTCATGGATCAAGCACTCGTTTTAACGTGTAAGTTTCTTTACGACTTTCTCGTGATTTTCACACCTTTTAATACATTCGCGACGATTCGATTTTCTCAAAAGCCAGCCTTTACAAATTCACTTTCATATGCATTCATCTTCTGATTAATGTACCATTTGGCTTTTTTAGTATGTGCTCTGAGCTCTTCTATTTCCTGTTTGTACTATCACATAGACGATCTTTCATATCGCACTGAATAATTACTGAAGTTTGCTTTTCTCTTTCTTATGAATTGTGTAGTAGGAACGAGATAAACAAAATGAAGTTTCGATGTTTTTTCTTTCGCATTCTTTTTGTAGCATTATCTTTGACTCTTTCCTCTGGAGTATATAAAAAACAACTGAAAGGACGGGGGCGTATAAGCTATAGAAAATGGGCCACTAGGGGTTTGTTGACATTTCATTGAGAATTTTTTTTAGAAAGGTAAGGCAAGTTTTATTAAAGTATATCCAAGTAAAACTATGCATGTTGAGCCTTATTTTCAAGCGAAAATAGTGTAAAATATTATACATGATTTTATTGCATATTATCTAATATAATTTTGATCAATTTTGAACTTTGTCCATGCGAGACGACTTCGTTTATATACTATTCGATAGAGCAAAGCAAAGGCTACAAACTGGTATATAATTCATCCAATTTCGAGTTAGTCCCAGTATTAAAAGTACTAGAAAAATGTTTTCGACATACAAAAAAATCACTACTCATCTAATCTAATTTTGATCGATTTTGAACTTTGTCCATGCGAGGCGACTTCGTTTATATACTATTCGATAGAGCAAAGCAAGGGCTACAAACTGGTATATAATTCATTTAGTTTCACATTGGTCTCAATATTAAAAATACTCGAAAACTATTTCTGATATGCAAAAAATCCACTATTTTGCTACAGTAAATCAGTATTTTTTTGTTAATAATTTCTAGAAAAGAAATAATTAATACAAATCTTATATTGGCGAGCAT